CTGACCTCGCTGCCTTTGACACAGTCGCTGACCTCATTACGCACCTCCGCACTACTGACACCCGCTACCACGCTGCGCTTCCTGCTGAGTTCTGCGCCAAGAACCCCCCCCCTATGTACATCACCCTCTACTACCTAGTCACCCGACTCCCTGACTCCCTTCGCTCGGTCAGGGACCACTTCCTCTCTCTTTGCCCCACCACACTCACCGTTGACCTCCTCGAGGAGCGCCTCCTTGCAGCTGAGAAGAGTATAGTCGCTGTAGGAGCCTCTCGTGGTGACCCTCGCACCCCTTTCTTTGAGGGGTGCTCCCCTGTTCCCCTTTTGCCCTCTGTTGCCTCTGCTGCTGCTGTCGACCTCGTTGGCACCGAGTCGGTCGGCGCTGCGTCTGCCCCTAGCGGGAGGCGCCGCAACGGCAAGGGGAAGGGGGGCAAGGGTGCTGGGGGAGCGGGCGGGGGCGGTGGTGGTGGCGGTGGGGGTGGCGGAGGGGGTGGGGGGGGCGGTGGGAGTGGTGGCGGGGGTGGGGGCTCTGGTGGCGGTGGCGGAGGCGGCGGCGGCGGTGGCGTTGGGAGTGGAGGAGGCGGCGGTAGCGGCGGTGGCGGCGGTGGCGGCGGGGCTGGCCGGGGTGGCCCAGTGCAGCGGGGAGGCTTCGGTGGTGGTCCGCGCCAGCACCAGCAGCGCACTCGTGAGACCCCTCCCTTCCAGCAGCTTCGTGAGTGGTACGCTGCGCGTCAGCGGGTTGGGGGTGCTGGTCCCTGTGCCTACGTTCTGCGTACTGGCGATCGCACGGGCGAGCCGTGTGGCGGCCCGCACACCACCCAGCGCTGCTTTGGCCGCCTGACTGACGCCTGGCGTCTCCAGTTCCCTGACGCCTCTGAGATCCCTCGCTGGGGTGATTTGCTTAGGTCGGGGGTTGCTATCTTTGATCTTGACTTTGATGCTATTCTTGCTGCCATGTATGTTGTGTCTACTAGTGATGAGGGTGATTGTTACCTGTGTGTTCCTCCTGAACCAGGCATTGCGGCTGCTGCTCTAGGTGCTCGCGAGTCTGCTGCTCCAGGTACTAGTGAGTCTGCTGCTACAGGTGCTAGTGAGTTTGCTCTCTCAGGTACCACGTCTGGTCAGGCTTTGCACACCTTCACCCTTGACTCGGGTGCTTCTCGCTCCTTCTTTCGAGACTGCACCACCCTCACGCCGCTCAGTCGGCCGGTTGCGGTCTCCCTGGCAGACCCCTCTGGGGGTCCTATCCTTGCCCGCTTCTCCACTGTACTGCCGTGTCCAGCGGCCCCGTCTGGCTCCCTGTCAGGTCTTTACCTCCCCTCGTTCTCTACGAACTTGGTGAGCGGTGCTGACCTGCAGGATGGGGGAGTTGACCAGTTCACTCCTGCGAGTCAGCGGGTGACCCACTGTACGTGTGCTCGGACGGGCCGCCACTTGGCCACGTTTACCCGTCAGCCGGGGTCGAGCCTGTACACACTGACTACCGAGTCTCCTCCGGTTTCTGCGTCTGGTCAGGTAGCTGCGTCGGGTCAGGTGTTTGCTGCAGCGTCCAGGTCTGGTCCTGAGTCTGCCCCCTGCTCGTGTCGCCTCCTGTCCCACCAGACCCTCCTCTGGCACCACCGCCTCGGTCACCCCTCCCTGCCTCGTCTCCGAGGCATGGCTTCCCGTGTCCTTGTCTCTGGTCTCCCCCGGTCCCTCCCTCCCCTTCCTCCGGGGCCTGCCCCTACCTGCGTTCCCTGCGTCGAGGGGCGGCAGCGCGCCGCTCCTCACTCCTCCGAGTTTCCGCCGACAGAGGCTCCACTGCAGACTCTTCACATGGACGTGTGGGGCCCAGCCCGCATCCGTGGACAGGGTCACGAGCATTACTTTCTCTTGGTGGTTGACGACTACTCGCGTTACACCGCAGTCTTCCCCTTGCGCACCAAGGGTGAGGTCACTGGGGTGTTCATCGACTGGATCCGCGCTGCTCGTCTCCAGCTCAAGAAGAGTTTCGGCTCCGACTTTCCTGTTCTGCGTCTGCACTCCGACAGAGGTGGAGAGTTTTCCTCCGACCTTCTACGAGCCTTCTGCCGTGCGAGGGGCATCCGCCAGACGTTCACGCTTCCGGCCTCTCCACAGCAAAATGGGATTTCTGAGCGCCGCATTGGCATGGTCATGGACGTCGCTCGTACGTCCATGATCCATGCGGCTGCTCCCCATTTTCTGTGGCCGTTCGCGGTTCAGTACGCGGCGCAGCAGATCAACCTTCAGCCCCGTGTCTCCTTGCCGGAGACCTTCCCCACCCTACGGTGGACGGGGAAGGTTGGCGATGCGTCTGCGTTCCGTGTTTGGGGATCTCGGGCGTTCGTCCGAGACTTGTCTGCGGACAAGCTATCTTCCCGTGCTGTTCCCTGCGTCTTCCTTGGCTTCCCCCCTGACGCGCCTGGTTGGCAGTTTTACCACCCCACCTCGCGCCGTGTTCTGTCCTCCCAGGACGTCACGTTTGACGAGTCGGTTCCGTACTACCGTCTCTTCCCCTACCGCGCTGCCCCCCTCCCCCCCCCCCGCCGCTCTTCCTCGTGCTAGGTCCCCCCCCGGTAGACCCCCTCCCCCCTCAGGGTCCTGCCCCCTCAGGTGTGTCCCAGGTAGACGCTGTCGAGCCTGTCGAGGTAGCTGTTGACTCTGGTGCTGCTGAGCGTGTGGAGCCTGCGGGTGTCAGGTCTGGGGGTGCTGAGCCTGAGCGTGCGGAGCCTGGGGGTGCTGAGCCTGTGCGTGCGGAGCCTGGGGGTGCTGAGTCTGGGGGTGCTGAGCCTGGGGTTGCAGAGTCTGGGGGTGCGGAGCCTGAGGGTGCTAGGCCTGCTCGAGTGGAGCCTGGTGGTGCTGAGCCTGGAGGTCCTTCGGGTGCTTTGTCCCGGCGGGAGCTGCCCTCTCCCCAGGAGCTGCGTGAGTGGTTTGCTCGCCGTTGGAGTCGTGCTGCTGGCGCTGGTGGTGCTACCGGCGCTGGAGGTTCTGCGGCTGCTGGAGGTTCTGGAGCCACGGGTCCCGGAGGTGCTCGTACCGGCGGTACTGGAGCTGCTGGGCCTGGTGGTGCTGCTGGTGCTGGAGCTGGAGGTGCTGCGTCTTCCGGTGGTCCTGCTGGGGCTGGTGCTGCTGGAGCTGGTACTTCTGGGGCTGCTGGAGTTGGCGCTGCTGGAGCTACTGGGGAAGCTGCTGGAGCTGGTGCTCCTGTGGGTGCTGGAGTTGGCGCTCCTGGAGCGGCTGGTGGAGCTGCGGGAGCCGGATCTGCCGCTGGGGGTGCTGGTGCTGTCCCTGCTGGTTCTGGGGGTGCTGCGCGGCCGCGGCCTTACTTCGTTCCGCTCCTTGAGCAGGTTCTTGGTCTCCCGCCTTCTACTGGCCCTGCTCCTTCCTTAGAGTGTCCACCGCCAGTCCAGTCTGAGTCACAGTTACAGCCAGCCTCCCCACTGCCTGCTCCTTCTCCCTACACTGGACCTACTGGAGGCCTTGCTGAGCGTCGTGAGGCTGCGTCTCGTCTTGCGTCGCCTGTTCCCCCTGCTCGCACTGGTCGTCGTGTTCCGCGTCAGCGTCCGCCTACGGTCCCCGGCACGCACCAGATGGCACTGCGTCCTTCCACTGCTCCACAGCGTGTCCCTTTGCCGTCTCCTCCAGAGTCCTCTCTTCCTGCTCTTGATGACCCGGAGTCTGACTCTCTTCGTACTGTCAGCCCTACTGTCACGCGTCTCCTGGCTACTGTTGTCACTGACCCTTCCTTTGAGTCCACTGCTGCGTCTGCCCTGGTTGCTGAGCTTGTCGACTTTGCTGCTCGCTATCGTCTAGACTACGCTGCTAGTCTAGTTGCTGAGTCTAAATCTGTCTGTCCTCCGTCCGTCGGGGGTGAGTGTGCTCTTAGCACGGACGTCCTTGAGGACAGGCAGGAGGAGTTCCAGTGCTTTGCTGCTGCTTTGCCTCATCTCGTGTCCATGCTGATTGCCCCTGAGGGAGACCCGGATGCACCAGACATCCCGACTCCACGCTCTTACGCGTAGGCGATAGAGGGTCCCTACTCCTCTCAGTGGCAGTCAGCCATGGACGCAGAGATGGCCTCCTGGAAATCCACAGGCACCTACGTCGACGAGGTTCCCCCTCCTGGGGCGAACATCGTTAGCGGCATGTGGATTTTTAGGGTGAAGCGGCCGCCGGGTTCTCCGCCTGTCTTCAAGGCGCGCTACGTGGCTCGAGGCTTCAGACAGCGGCAGGGAGTTGACTACTTTCAGACCTTCTCTCCCACACCGAAGATGACCACTCTTCGGGTGCTGCTGCACGTCGCCGCTCAGCATAACTACGAGCTTCACTCTCTTGACTTCAGCACAGCTTTCCTACAGGGCAGCCTGCACGAGGAGATCTGGCTGCGCCGCCCACCTGGATTCACTGGGTCGTTTCCTCCTGGTACCCAGTGGAGCCTCTAGCGGCCAGTCTACGGTCTCCGCCAGGCGCCCCGTGAGTGGCACGACACACTGAGGACTACTCTTGCGGCTCTTGGGTTTGCTCCTTCTACGGCCGACCCGTCGCTGTTTCTACGCACCGACACCTCTTTGATGCCGTTCTACATCCTCGTGTACGTCGACGACTTGGTCTTTGCTACTGCTGACACTGCTGGACTCGCCCACGTGAAGTCCGAGCTGCAGAAGAGACACACGTGCACAGACCTGGGTGAACTGCGTAGCTACCTTGGCTTGCAGATCACCCGGGACAGAGCACGGCGCACATTACCCTGACTCAGTCACACATGGTGCAGCAGGTCCTTCAGCGCTTCGGCTTCCCGTACTCCTCGCCTCAGGCCACTCCTCTGTCTACTCGCCACTCGCTCTCAGCTCTGCCTTCGGATGAGTCCGTAGAGCCGAGTGGCCCGTATCCAGAGCTTGTTGGCTGCCTCATGTACCTGATGACCTGCACTCGTCCTGACCTTGCATACCCTCTTAGCATCTTGGCACGCTATGTTGCTCCTGGGATACACCGACCAGAGCACATGGCTGCTGCGAAGAGGGTGTTGCGCTACTTGTGCAGTACGTCGGGCATGGGGCTCGTGCTTGGAGGGCGGAGTCCAGTGGTCCTCACTGGTCACGCAGACGCTTCTTGGGCTGACGACTTGGCTACGAAGCGGTCGTCGCAGGGTTACACCTTCAGCCTTGGTTCTGGCTCTGTTTCGTGGCGGTCTACCCGCTCGTCTTCTGTTCTCGGCTCCAGCTGTGAGGCCGAGATCTACGCAGGGGCCATGGCTGCACAGGAGTTACGCTGGCTCACCTACCTGCTGACCGACCTGGGAGAGCCGCCTCGTTCTCCTCCAGTTCTGTACGTAGACAACAAGGCCATGCTGGCCTTGTGTCGAGAGCACAGACTGGAGCACAGAACGAAGCACATTGCTCTTCGCTACTTCCTTGCTCGTGAGCTGCAGCAGCGTGGTCAGCTGCGCCTTGCTTACGTGGCCTCTCAGGCCAACACTGTTGATATCTTTACCAAGGCACTTCAGCCTTGTGATCATCAGCGCTTTTGTACGATGCTAGGTCTTGTGCCTATTTGGCCTCACTTGCTTACTTCTTGACCCTGCTTGTACTGTGATCCATATATACCTGCACTTGCTTGTTTACCTTGATATATGTGATCCTGCATGTGAACTGGCCTTGTGGCCTTGAACCTGTGCTCGGAATGTGTGGTGACGTTGTGATCCACCCTGAGCTTGCTTTGCTTTGCTTGACTGGTCTTGTGACCCCTTGTTCTCCCCCACTTTGCCTATGGGGGTGTGTCAAACATATATTATCTAGCCTATGTAGGCTGTAGTGGGTTAGATACTAAGGGGTACACAATTCTAGGGTTTCATATTTGTATCACACACTTTCCTAGTTGATCCATTCCTCACTATTCTCTTCACAACTGCGAGTCGGATCGACTGTAGGAATGACGAGCGCATATTCTGTTCGTCGCGTAAATCTTCCCTAGTCGAAATTCGCGTCCGATCTCGGCTGTTGAGAAGAAATTTGATCCGACGCTCCAAATTCCAACTTTTTTGGGCCGTTGAGATTCGAATCGATCTGACGGTCAAAATTCCAACCCTTTCGCTAATAATCATGAGGAGTGTTCGAAAACCGGTTCGAGGGGGATGTTTAAAAATAGCGCGGAACCGGTTTTTGTACCCGAAATCGGCGCTTTCCGTCGTCGCCCCCGCGGTTTTAAACGTAGGTTTTGGTGGTCAAAAATCTTCGCGTGTATACGGGCTTTGATTGCCAAGCGTGAGGATCGCGGATCGAGTTCAGAAAAGAGAGCTTGCATTGAATGTTTCACTTGGGTACAGCACAAGGCTACACATAGTCTCGACACAAGGCCAGTTACCAAGGTGTTACGCGAATGTTTTGAGGGTCGCGAAGCGTCCTGAACAGAACCTTCCCGAACTTAGTAGAAAGCAATTTGGGGGCAACCGAAAATGCTTGAGTTCGGTACATGTAACTTGGTTCGGTGCTATAACTATAATAACATATAGGAATGCACCTAAACGAGGAAATCAAGCATATCTTTGCATGATAAATAAAACCCAAGCTAGTAATAGCATAATAAAGTTCAGGCAAGCTAGCAAAGCCAGCATAAAGCGTCGTACTCTTACATGCATCGTCACGCGCAGCCCAACTTCTAACCTCAGTGCGACACTGGGCATGGGCAGACTGGTCATCTGCTGACGCATCGTCACTAAGCGGATCCAGAGGGGGAGGGGGGGGGGGGGAGTGGGGGGGGAGGGGGGGTGGCTTTTTGCTCATCGGCGATGCTCGGAAATAGGGATATTATTCTCGAATTGGCTGGCAAGGTAGAGCTCAGCTTCCGCAGCCATGCCGGGAAACCAACAAGGCGTCCCTCAAGGTTGATCTGCAGAACACGAGCAGACGCCATGGACATGGTAGGTACCTAGCTGGAGGCCCTCTATGCGGTCGGATGAGGTTAGGGATGGTCGAGGACGGCTAAGAGCAGCCTGGTGCGGTTGAGTGCGGTTAAGAGAGGTCTAGAGCGGTGGGGTGGGGCGGTTTCTCGCGGTGGGGAGTGATATAGTGCGGTACGAAAGTACTGGTTGCTGCTGCTGGTGTCCGTACTGGTCGTGCTGGTGCTAACAGCTGCAGCATGTGCTAGCTGCCACTGCTGGCATTAGCTAATGGTGCTGGCTTAAGCTGTGTTAGCTGGCGCTAGCTGCTGTTGCTAACGCCAGCTGCTACTACGGGCACTAGCTGCAGATGCCGCGGCTAATGCTGCCGTGGGGCCCTCGGAAATAGAAGGGCGGGGCGGTTAGAGTACGGGGTGTGTACGGCCAGCAGAGTAGGGTTTTTATGGGGACGGGCTACGGGCGACGGGTGATGGGCTACGAGGCACGCATTCGAACGGGGCGCGCGCTAGCGATTTAGGTGGGCCCTTAAGTAACGAGAGGAAATCGCTAGGGGAAACCCTAGTTGGGGTAAACCGGTCTCTGGACTGAGTCCCATGGTGTCGTGTCTGCGTTTCGTGTTTGGGGCTACCTTGCGCTTGTCTGTGATCCTCGTGCAGACAAGCTCTCGTCTCGCACTTTCCGCTGTTGCTTCCTTGGTTTCCCAATTGAGGCCCCAACCGTATGTTTTACCAACCTTCTAACCACCGGTTCTTCGACTCTCGTGAAATCACTTTTGACGAGTTAGTTTCCTTCTATGCACACTTACCCTATTAAGGTACTCCGATTCTCTCCACTCCTCCTCCTGGTCCTGCTCCTCCGGTGCTCTCACCCCACCCAGGTTTTGCCCCGTCGGGTGTGCCTAATGCTAATTCGCATCCATCAATAGCACGTCGATGTCATCTCCTTCACCACATTCCCCTATTTCGTCCTCACAGTCACCGTAAAAGCCTTCAGTGCTACTACGACAGGTTTCAGTGGATTCTCAGGGTGTTGGCGCTAGAGGTGATGGTGCTGGAGCTTAAGGTGCTGGCTTTGGGGGTGCTACCACTAGAGGTGCCACCTCTACATGTGTTTTTCCGGGGGTTGCTGCTGCGGAGGGTGCTACAGCTAGAGGTTCTTGCATTGAAGCTCCTGGTTCAGTGGTTGCTGACCTGTCAAACATTGTATGTGTTATATTTGTATAGGCTATTGTGGGTTAGCTTCCAGGGGGTACACAACTCTAGGTTTGACATACTTGTACTCTCATTCTCCTTCTAGTCCACCATTCTCGTTCACTCTTAGTTTCTCACATGGTATTACGAGCCTAGGTCGTTACCTAGGACCGAACGATGGGCCCACCGTTTTCGCCTAGTCGCGCCCTCGCGCGCCTCGCCTAGTCGCGCCCTCGAGCGCCCTCCTCTCTCTCACTTTCGCGCGCCCTAGCGTGCCTCTCGCGATCGGCCCCGCCTAGCCCGCACGCCCTAGCGTGCGTCGTGCGATCGGCCCCGCCTAGCCCCGCTCGCCCTTGCGAGCCTCTTACGGACCGGCCTCGCCCCTTAGCGCGCGCCCTTACGTGCCCCGTGCGACCGGCCCACACCCACCCGCGCGCCCTTGCGTGCCCTCGCGTACCGGCCCCGCCCAGCTAGACCGCCCTCGCGTACCTAGTGCGACCCGGCCCCGCCCCACCAGCCCGCCCTTGCGTGCCCCGTGCGACCAGGCCCCGCCCTAGCTAGCTCGCCACCCCGGGGACCCGTGCGCCCGTCCCCGTCGACCCATGCGTCGCCCTGCGGCCCCCCCCCTCCCCGCACACCTGAGTTTGCTTACCGCACACCCGAGTTCGCTTCCCGCACACTTGTGCACGATTCGCGCACACCTGAGCTCGCTTACCCCACCTCGAGTAGCCGCTACCTAGCTGAGCCGAGCCGCCCCACCGAACCGCGTCACCCGGCCCGAGCCGCGTCGCCCTACCGAACCGCACCGCCCTACCGAGAAGCGCTGCCCTACCGAGCCGCGCCTCCTACCGAGCCGCGCCCCTGATTCTGTCACTACTGCTGTTTCTGCTACTACTACTGCTGCTCCTCCTACTGTCACTATGGCTAGCCCTCCTGTGCTAGCTTTCGATGCTGAGGGCCGCCCAGTGAAGTTTGACACCTGGCTCGATGACCTGCACCTATTCCTACAGCTCACTGCCAAGGAAGACATCTCACTGTACGATCACGCCTTAGGCCATGCTACTGCCCCTTCTGCTACTGCTGACAGCACTACCCGCTCACAGTGGCAGACTCGTGACGCCCACGCTCGCTTTGCTATTCGCAACTCCTTGCCGATAGATGAGCGCGAGCACTTTGGCCAGCACAAAACTGCACAGGCACTGTACACTGCTGTCGTTGCCCGCTACTCCTCACCTGCCTCTGCCGCACTAGGCCGTCTCTCACTCCCCTACCTGTTCCCCGACCTGTCCTCTTTCTCCACAGTCGCTGACCTCATCACACACCTCCGCACTAGTGAGGCCCGCTTCCGTGCCGCTATGCCCGATGAGTTTCTTGCCAAGAACCCCCCCCCCGCTCTGGCTCACTCTCTACCATCTAGTCACCCGCCTCCCTGACACTCTGCGTGCAGTCAGGGACCACTTCCTAGCTCGCTGCCCCACAGAGCTCACCATTGCCATCCTCGAGAAGGAACTACTTGCAACTGAGGCTAGCATAGTCGCTGTAGGTGCCTCTCGTGGCGACCCCCGCACCCCTTTCTTTGAGGGGTGTTCCCCTTCCCCCCTTCTCCCCTCTGTAGCCTCTGCTGCTGCTGTCGACCTCCTTGGTGCTGAGAAGGTCGGGACTGCGTCCGCTCCGAGCTGGCGCCGCAGCGGCAAAGGCAAATGGGGCAAGGGAGGCGGAGGTGACGGCGGGGGAGGCGGTGGTGGGGGCGGTGGCGGCGGTGGGGGTGGTGGCGGGGCTGGAGGGACTAGTGGCAGCGGTGGGGGTGGTGGCGGCAGCGGCGGGGGAGGTGGCAGGGGCGGGGGCGGAGGTGGTGGCGGCGGTGGACGCGGAGGCGGCAGGGGCGGTGGTGGACGGGGTGGCAGCGGCGGAGGTGGTGGTCGTGGAGGCGCCGGCAGTGGCCAGAGCCAGCAGCAACCTCTGTCGCCCCAGGAGCTTCGTGAGTGGTACTCTCAGCACGGGGGGGGGGGGTGGACTTAGCTGCACGTACGTCATCCGCACAGGTGACCGCACTGGTCAGACGTGTGGGAGGGCGCACCCCACGCAGCGCTGCTTCTCCCGCCTCGACGACGCCTGGCGCACTCAGTTCCCTGGTGCCACTGAGCTGCCCCGCTGGGCCGATCTGATGAGGAAGAACATTGATATCTATGCTCTTGACTTTGATGCTATTCTCACTGCCATGTATGTCTTGTCTACTAGTGGAGAGGGTGATCAGTACCTGTGTGTTCCGCCCGACCCGGGCATTCGACCCAGTGGAGCTGCCACTCTAGGTGCTAGTGTGTCTGGTGCCCTAGTTGCTGGTGAGGCTGCCGCTCTAGGTACTTACGTGTCTGCTGCCCCAGGTGCTGGTGAGGCTGCTGCTCTAGGTGCTCGTGAGTCTGCGCCCCCTGGTACTGGGTCTACTGAGGCACTGCACACCTTCACTCTGGACTCAGGTGCTTCTCGCTGTTTCTTTCGTGACCGCACTGCCCTTGAGCAGCTTGCTCGGCCAGTTGCAGTCTCCCTCGCTGACCCCTCTGGGGGTCCGGTCGTTGCGACCTCCTCCACTGTCCTCCCTTGTCCTGCGGTTCCGTCGGGCACACTGTCAGGTCTCTACCTCCCCTCGTTCTCTACGAACTTGGTGGCGGGTAGTGCGCTCCAGGACGGGGGTGTCCACCAGTTTACCCCTGCCTACGAGCGCGTGACACACTGCACGTGCGCTCGGACGGGCCGCCACCTGGCTACCTTCACTCGGCAGCCGGGGTCGGACCTGTACACACTGACCACTGAGTCCCCTCAGGTAGCTGCGTCTGCGTCTGCGTCAGGTCAGCTGTCTGCCCCCTGCTCGTGTCGCTCCCTGGCACACGAGACTGTCCTCTGGCACCACCGCCTTGGTCACCCGTCAGTGCAACGCCTTCGTGCCATGCACAAACGGTACCTTGTCTCTGGTCTTCCCAGGGTTCTCCCTCCACTCCCACCGTCGCCTGCTCCTCCCTGCCTTCCCTGTGTCGAGGGGCGGCAGCGCGCTGCTCCTCACTCCTCCTCGTTCCCTCCCACAGAGGCTCCACTGCAGACTCTCCACCTGGACGTGTGGGGCCCAGCCCGCGTCCGTGGACAGGGTCAGGAGAGGTACTTCCTGATCGTTGTTGACGACTACTCACGCTACACCACGGTCTTCCCCTTGCGCACCAAGGGTGAGGTCCCTGATGTTTTGATCCCTTGGATCCGTGCTACTCATCTCCAGCTCAGTGAGCGGTTCCACTCGGACTTTCCTGTCCTGCGTCTGCACTCTGACAGAGGTGGTGAGTTCTCCTCCGACCTCTTGGCAGCCTACAGTGCGGAGCACGGCATCCGCCAGACGTTCACGCTTTCGGCCTCCCCACAGCAGAATGGGGTTGCTGAGCGCCGCATTGGTTTGGTCATGGAGGTCGCTCGTACCTCCTTGATCCATGCGGCTGCCCCCCACTTTCTGTGGCCGTTTGCGGTCCGATACGCTGCGCATCAGCTCAACCTCTGGCCCCGTGTCTCCCTGCCGGAGACTTCTCCGACACTGCGTTGGACGGGAGAGGTTGGCGATGCGTCGCGTTTTCGGGTCTGGGGTTCTCGAGCTTTTGTTCGCGATACGTCCGCGGACAAGCTCTCCTCCCGCGCTGTTCCTTGTGTCTTCCTTGGCTTTGTCCCAGACGCGTCTGGTTGGCAGTTTTACCACGCCACCTCGCGCCGTGTCCTGCCCTCTCAGGACGTCACTTTTGACGAGTCCGTGCCCTACTACCGCCTCTTCCCCTACCGCACTGCCCCACTCCCCCCCCCGCCTCTCTTCCTCGCGCCAGGTGCTGCTGTGGTAGACCCCCTCCCCCCTCAGGGTGCCGCTCCCTCAGGTGTGTTCCAGGTAGACCTGGTTGAGCCTGTCGAGGTAGCTGTCGACTCTCGTCCTGCTAGGGGTGCTGAGCCTGAGCGAGCGGAGCCTGAGGGTGCGGAGCCTGGGGGTGCGGAGCCTGGGGTTGCGGAGTCTGGGGGTGCTGAGCCTGGGGGTGCGGAGCCTGCGGGTGCTGAGTCTGGGGGTGCTGAGCCTGGGAGTGCTACGTCTGAGGGTACTGGGACTGAGCGTGCTTCACCTGGAGGAGCTCTCTCCTCACAGCAGCTACGAGAGTGGTACTTACAGTACTGCAGCCTCAGGAGGGGTGCCTCTGGAGCTAGGAGTGCTGCTGGAGCTGGTGCTAGTGCTTCCCCTCCTAGGCGGGAGCTGCCCTCTCCCCAGCGGCTCCGAGAGTGGTACGCTCGGCGCTGCAGTCTCCGGAGTGACGCTCCTAGTGTCGCGGACCCTGCTGCTGGTGCTGGTGGTGCTGCTGGTGCTGCTGGAGGTGCTGCTGGTGCTGGTGCTGCTGGAGCTGCTGGAGGTGCTGCTACTACTGGAGGTGCTGCTGGTGCTGCTGGAGCTGCTGGAGGTGTTGCTGCTACTGGCGGTGCTGCTGGTGCTGCTGGAGGTACTGCTGGAGCTGCTGGAGCCGCTGGTCCTGGGGGTGCTCGTACTGGAGGTACTGGAGCTGCTGGGACTGGGCCTGCTGAGGGGGTTGTCGCTGGAGGTGCTGAGCGGCCGCGGCCGTACTACGTTCCGCTCCTTCAGCAGGTTCTTAGTCTCCCACCCTCTACTGGTCCTTCTCCTCCCCTACTGAGTCCACCGCCTGTCCAGTCGCAGTCACAGTTACAGCCAGCCTCTCCACTGCCTGGTCCTTCTCCTTACGCTGAGCCGACGAGGGGTCTTACGGAGCGTCGTGAGCCTGAGTCTCGTCCTCCGTCGCCTGAGTCTCGTCCAGAGTCGTCTGAGTCACGTCCAGAGTCACCTGTCCGTGCTGTCCGCGCTGGTCGTCGTGCTCCGCGTGAGCAACCTCCTCCTGTTCCTGGCACTCACTATATGACTCTGCGTCCTTCCAGTGCTCCACAGCATGTCCCTCTGCCGTCCCCTTCTGCGTCCTCTCTTCCTGCTCTTGCTGACCCGGAGTCTGACTCTCTTCGTGCTGCCAGTCCTACTGTCACGCGTCTCCTTGCCACTGTTGTCACTGACCCTTCCTTCGAGTCCTCTGCTGCGTCTGATCTAGTCGCTGAGCTTGTTGACTTTGCTGCCGCCTGTCGTCTAGACTACGCCGCTAGCCTTGTTGCTGAGTCTGAATCTGTCTGTCCTCCGTCCGTCGGGGGTGAGTGTGCTCTTGGCACGGACGTCCTTGAGGACAGACAGGAGGAGTTTGAGTGCTTTGCCGCTGCTTTGCCTCATCTCGTGTCCATGCTAGTTGCCCCTGAGGGAGACCCGGATGCACCAGACATCCCGACCCCACGCTCCTACGCAGAGGCGATGGAGGGTCTCTACTCCTCTCAGTGGCAGACAGCCATGGACGCAGAGATGGCTTCCTGGAAATCCACAGGCACCTACGTCGACGAGGTTCCCCCACCTGGGGCGAACATCGTCAGTGGCATGTGGATTTTCAGGGTGAAGCGGCCGCCGGGTTCTCCGCCTGTCTTCAAGGCGCGTTACGTTGCACGAGGCTTCAGTCAGCGAGAGGGAGTAGACTTCTTCCAGACCTTCTCCCCGACCCCGAAGATGACCACTCTTCGGGTTCTGCTGCACGTCGCCGCTCAGCGTGACTACGAGCTCCATTCTCTTGACTTCAGCACTGCGTTCCTACAGGGCAGCCTGCACGAGGAGATCTGGCTGCGCCGCCCACCTGGCTTCACTGGGTCGTTCCCTCCTGGTACCCAGTGGAGCCTCCGGCGGCCAGTCTACGGTCTCCGCCAGGCACCCCGTGAGTGGCACGACACACTGAGGACTACACTTGCGGCTCTTGGGTTTGCTCCTTCTACTGCTGACCCGTCGCTGTTTCTACGCACCGACACCACTCTGCCGCCGTTCTACGTTCTCGTGTACGTCGACGACTTGGTCTTTGCTACTGCTGACACTGAGGCACTCGCCCACGTGAAGTCGGAGCTGCAGAAGAGACACACGTGCACAGACCTGGGTGAGCTGACAAGCTATCTTGGCTTGCGGATCACCCGGGACAGAGCACAGCGCACCATCACCTTGACTCAGTCACACATGGTGCAGCAGGTCCTTCAGCGCTTCCGCTTCACGTACTCCTCGCCTCAGCCCACCCCTCTGCCTACCGGTCACTCGCTCTCAGCTCTGCCTTCGGATGAGTCCGTAGAGCCGAGTGGCCCGTATCCAGAGCTTGTGGGCTGCCTCATGTACCTGATGACCTGCACTAGACCTGACCTTGCATACCCTCTTAGCATCCTAGCACGCTATGTCGCTCCTGGCCGTCACCGGAAGGAGCACATGGATGCCGCTAAGAGGGTGTTGCGCTACTTGTGCAGTACGTCGGGCATGGGGCTTGTGCTTGGAGGACGGCGCGACGTTGTTCTCACTGGACACTCAGACGCTTCTTGGGCTGACGACCAGGCTACGCAGCGGTCGTCTCAGGGTTACACCTTCAGCCTTGGCTCTGGCTCTGTTTCCTGGCGTTCTACACGCTCTTCTTCTGTTCTCAGCTCCAGTTGTGAGGCTGAGATCTACGCCACAGCCATGGCGGCCCAGGAGCTACGCTGGCTCACCTACCTGCTGACCGACCTCGGAGAGCGGCCTCTTTCTCCTCCAGTGCTGTATGTCGACAACAAGGCAGCCATTGCCTTGTGTGAGGAGCACAGACTGGATCACAGAACGAAGCACATCGCTCTGCGCTACTTCCTAGCGCGAGAGCTGCAGCAGAGGGGTCAGCTTCGTCTCTCGTACGTGGCCACTCGGGCCAACACTGCTGATGTGTTCACCAAGGCGCTTCAGCCTTGTGACCATCAGCGTTTCTGTACTGTGCTAGGCCTTGTGCCTACTCTCCCTCACCTGCTCACTTCTTGACTCTGCTTGTACTGTGATCTCTCTATATATACCTGCATGCTTACACTTGCTAGGTTGTGATCACTGTACCTCTTGTTATATTATCAAACTGCATGTCAACTGGTCTTGTGACCACTTGCTTGTGCTCGGAATTTGTGTGGTATCCTTGAGATCCACCCTGAGCTTGTCTTGCTTTGCTTTGACTGGTCCTGTGACCCCTTGTTCTCTCCCACTTAGCCTATGGGGGTGTGTCAAACATTGTATGTGTTATATTTGTGTAGGCTATTGTGGGTTAGCTTCCAGGGGGTACACAACTCTAGGTTTGACATACTTGTACTCTCATTCTCCTTCTAGTCCACCATTCTCGTTCACTCTTAGTTTCTCACATGACCCTGGTGCACCTGATCCGTTGGTTCCACGTCGTTAGGCAAGGCTTCACTTCTTATGGCGGCGGGAGCAACAGTAGCAGCGGTGGTAGCAGCATCAGGAGCAAGAGCAGCAGAAGTAGTAGCAACAGAAGCAGTAGTGGTCGTCGCCACCTGTGGGTGGTCTATGTCTCCTAAGCCTTATTTCTCCTTCGCCTCGCCACTTGCCGCCTTTGCTTGTTGATGATCCTACGTTTCCTCCCCCGGACACACCTCCGGCTCGTTCTCCTCATCATTTACGTTTGTCTCCTCCCTTGCTTCCTTCCCGTCTCTGGCCTCCATTACCTAGTCCATTCATCCTTGTCTCTTGTTGCGGAGGGTGCTTGTTCCTTGTCTCCTATCCTAATCCCCACTCCCTACTTCTACGTTCTCTCTCTCCTCGTGTTCACCCTCCCTCTGTTCTCCCGTGACCTCCTATGCCGTCTCTCACTATTGCCTCACAACATCTTTCTAATTACTTCTGTACTGCTTGCCCCATCGTCTCCTATGTTCTCTCCTCTCTCGTCACTGACCCTACTGCCTCTTTGTTGTCTTTTGCCGCTGTCATTGACTTTGCCTCCACTCGCCGCCTTGACTACGCCACCCAATTGATTCCTCCTGCGTCACGTCCTTTGTCTGGTGGGGATAAATTTTCCCTTGGCTGTGACGTCGTAGAGGCAAGGAAGTTTGAGTTGGAGTTCGTTGTGGTCGTTGCTCCTCACCTCTCTACCATGTTGCAACGCTAAAATCGAGGTCCTAATGCTGGTGATATCCAGAATCCCCGCACCTATACTGAGGCAGTTTCAGGCCGGTGGGTCTCTTAGTGGATAGCAGTTATGAACTCAGAGATGGCATTTTATGTCGACGTAATTTCCCCTCCTGGGGCAAATGTAGATGATGTCATGTGGATCTTCAAGGTGCAGTGGCCACTTGGATCTTCGCCTGTCTTTAAGGCGCGTTACGGTGGTGAGAGGCTTCATTCAGCTTGAGGGAGTGGACTTCTTCCATATGTTCCTCCCCACCTTGAACATGACTACTATTTGAATTCTACTTCACGTCTTTGCACAACTTGACTACGAGTTGTACTCGCCGAACTTTTGCACTACCTTTCTTCAGGGTACTGTGCATGAGCAGATATGGCTGCGCTATCCCCCTGACTTCACTAGCTCTTTCTCGCCTGGGACCCAGTGGAGCCGAGATAACTTTTCTACGGTCTGCGCCGGGCACCTTGTGAGTGGCACGACACCCTGCATATAAGTCTTACTTCCCTTGGGTTCCACCTTTCTTCAGCCGATCTGTCAGTCCATTCCTTTATTCATCGTCATTTACGTCAATGGCTTGGTCTTTGCAACTGCAGACCCGGCCTAGTACAACAATGCAGGGTTTGGAAAAAGTGACGCGCAAAATGGCGAGCACTGTCAGTCAGTGACGGGCGAAGAATGGTTGCCTTTGGCAGGTGCTTAGTAAGGAATGTGTAAGGCAGTCATCCTCAAAACAGGTGTCCGGTAAGTTAAGGCATGTAGATCACGGAATCTCGGCTACTCAAATATTCCAGGAAGACAGTTGTCTCTTGATATATTCAGCTGGCGTGCGGTCCTTCCAGGGGATAAAGATTTTGATCCTGCGAGATCCCTAGGGGTGTCTTATCCTACGGCTGAGTATTCGATAATCAATTGGCTTCGACAATTGGGTCAGCTGCGAGGCTCATGGACGGTGGTTGATGTCGTGAAATCTCACTTGTTGTCGGGATGCATATGCTAGAAACTAAATTACTGGACTCGTTAGGGTATACAAGTAGGCCCCTAGATTCGTTTTGAGACACACTGATTGATCGGTATGCACCCTTCTAGGAACTCTGTGTGTCAGCATTGCCTCGAATTTTTAGTCTGAAAATCACAAAAATTTTAGGCTGAACTTTCAGCGTTACATGGAAATTTTAAGCTGATCATGCATTTTCATAAAAGCACTATCATAAAACATCTCACATATCTGAATCATAGTCTGAGTTAGGAGCTTCTACAGGAGCACACTCAACTACACCATCATCCTCTACAGGCTCCTTCCCAGCCCTTGGGGGCTCCCTGTGTCTTGGAGCAGGTGATGTGACAAGCTGGCACTACTTGTAGCTGCGCTAAATCTCTACAACTCCCGGCAAATCTAGCTCATAGTCCAGCAATGACATGCACAACAGATTACTGAGCCTACAGTCCTTAATACTACCCCTCTACCACGTTTTAACTGAGATTCTGTCAAAAGAAGCCTCTCTCATACTCATCAGTGCTGAGAGGCAGCACTGCAATCGCCACCCAGAGTCCTACGAGGTTGGGGTATGACTGCTGCCAATCGGGAGTCTTGAGGATGGCACTCAATCCCACATGGAACTTACACTCACTCTTAGGAGCTCTGGTCAGGACCGAGCACATAGTTCTCGACTCTTTCACGGCCCGCTTCTTGTCAATGCCAGCGAGGTAAGACAACAAATGAAGGGATTAGTGCATGACGGGATTTCAATGGTCGAACGAGCTAGCGATCACGAACTAACCTGGTAGGATCTCGTCCGAGTCATCAGCGTAAGACATAGTGGCTAGCGACAACAGCCACTCCTTGCACTGTGCCTCTCGTGCGTGCCTCTCCTAGTTCAGTGGCCACAAGTCCGAGATGAAGAGTCTCATACCAGAAAGAGAGTCAAGGTCACCAAGCTTTGACTGGAGGTTTTGGACGAGGAGCTCGGCCATGTCGGTGCAGAGTGCCACGCATGCCTCGTGATGCCCTGGTCCACGATAACGCTCGTTGCTGCGCTCGTGGAGGGTGAAGGTGAAGCGGTTTAGGCTGCCGTCAGACGACGCTCCTTCCGCCACCATTTCTGTCGCCCCCCTCCGGTCCATGCTTGTTAATGAGCTAGTAAAGCCGCTCGTTGCCCTCCCCCCTTCCCCCTCCCCCCTCCCCCCCCCCCCCCCCCCCCCCCCCCCCCCCCCGCCCCCCCCCCCGGAACTCGTTGCCGCAGTCGATGTACTGGCTCTCCAAGAGAGAGGTAGTGCATACAATCTGCGCATGCACCAAGGCATAGTCGTGCTGCCACACACAAGCCAAATAGTTAGTTAGACACGGGTAGATTTACTTCAGATGAACATATCACATGCTGAAACATCACTTACCTCCTGCTGCTGGAAAACCTTGGAGAGGACGTTGAGCAGCTCCAAAACGTCCGCGAGGAACCTGAGCATGAACTGAAATTGGTACGAGGTGATGAGCTCGTACATGGTCCTGTCCTTCCACTCTAACAGCATCACGACGATGGCAGGCAGGACTTCGACGAACAAAGCGACGGCAGCACCCCTCAAAAGCCATCGAATCTCGGTATCCCTTACACCTTGAGGTTCGTGGCCGTGAAGACCTCCTGGAGCTCCATGAAACGTTGATGCCACGGCCCAGAACGCCCCAGGTACTCGGCGACGGCGCAGGTCATGTCGTCAACCATGCCGAATGTTGGGATAGCCTCTGCTGCAACTTTCGCAGCCAATGCCTCTCTGCACATCATACAACACACAGGGTTAGATGTTTACGTAATAATACTAATAATAATAACTAAAAAAAAACAGGTAATAAGAATCATCACCAACGGGGTGTAAGATGAAGTGGATCGAGACCAGGTTGGGGATGAGCATATGAAGACGTGCAACTACTCCACTTTGGGGCCCCACTATCACCATTGCGCTGTTTGTGATCACACCCGAGATACGGCGGAGATCAATGCCCACTTTCCTGAGGTGGGATAGCAATAAGCTACACAGGGATGCAGTGTTAGCTTTCTCAACAGTTAGCAATGGGAGAAACTCAGTAACGTTTAGACTGTTACGCATAAAGGTGGCAAAAACAATCATGTGTTTGCCGCAATGCCTGTCGGTGCTCTCATCCAGCGTGATCCCAATGAAGAGGATCGCTAAGATATGCTGCAGATGCATTGTTTGAAGCCATGTTGCATTTGCTTGGGTAAGTTCTCCAAAGCCGTACCTGTATGAAAAAAAAGCACTGCAGTAAGCGAGAGACGTAGAGTGAATGTTAAGAGAGTAATTATGACCCAATATACGTACGCATTATGGTAAGTGCCGAACCCCTTCTTCGGAAAATCGGGTAGCTTCTTCTTCGCTAGGTAGCGCACAAGCCTTATCCATGAGTCTATAGGCTTGTTGCATTTGCTCATGAAGTACAGCGAGTCGACGAGAGACGAAACCTGCAGCAGCTCCTTGTCGTGGTGCGAGAGTATGACGGCTTATGCTTGCTTGGCTAGCTTGCCTTGCCTTTAATATGCTACTCTAGCTTAGGTTTTATTTGTCATGCATGCTTATGCTTGATTACGTAGGTTAGGTGCATTCTAATATCTTAGTATATCCATGGCACCGAACCAGGTTACTTGTACCGAACTCAAGCCTTTCGTTTCCCACCAAATTGCTTTCTACCGAGTTCAAGAAGGTTCTGTTCGGGATGCTTCGCGACCCTCAGAACATTCACATAACACCAGGGTTACATGCCTTGTGTCGAGACTATATGTAGCCTCTTGTTGTACCCAGGTGAATAAATCAATGCAATCTCACCTTTCTGAGAACGATCCTCGATCCT